ACTTGGTTTCAGTGAGAAAATGAAAGAAATATAGAAGTGTTTTATCTGTTTCAGTGAAATAGAAAAGTTCACCAAAGTTAAGCAACATCATACCTAGATGGGTGACCACTTGTGAATGCCAGGTGATGTAAGCTTAGATGTACAGGTGATGTAATGGATAACAGATCAGAATTGGAAATCAGAGCTGAGCTCTAATACCAATTGGGTTCATTATATTCACTTAAGCACAAATATCTTTGGGAAAGTTATGAATCCACATCTACTCCCTTCAGCTATGGGTTAATTACTTGAAATTGTATAAGTAAATCTTACAATCTAAAAATATTTTCTGGCTTTTAGTAACCTGCAAATGGTTGGTAAACCATTAAAAACAAATCAACCAATCAATCGATATTATGTAGTTGAGTGATATAAAATCAAAACTTCATTGAAAATATTAAATTAATTCATAAAAAATACATCTATAAATAAACAATTCAACATTGTATCAATAATTTTTGGTTTTACATTTGTATGTCTGATCACAAACTGCTTTATTGTGTCAGTGTGTATGTGATCCAACTTCCAAACTTAAATAAGATCTCAAATTCTATCATCCAGGTGGTCTCAACCAAGCTTGACGCATGATTCTCCTTAAATTGCATTAATTGATGGAGACTGGGGGGGGAATACATATATAAAGTGTGGCAAAAATAAACAAGACACTCTTCTCAGACCTCTGTCTATAAAAAAAAAAAACTTCCCCCCAAAAATGGGTTGTTGTTATTGTTTGCATTACAAATAATAAACAAACTCAGTTGGAAAGCCACATTTCCTTGGTAGGGGACAACCCTGTGGGATGAAAGTAAATGTTTATTACTGTGTGTTTATTTTTTTTTTCATTTTAACAGCTGTTAAGGTGATATGTTAACAGCTAGAAAAACCTTTGTTCTCTTTCTGTAAACACATATATGTGCTTTTTTTAGCCATTATTTGCCCCTAATTTCATCAAGGTGATGACTTGTTTTCTCGTTTCTCTCTTTTTCCAATCTTGGAAATAAATCATCTTGTTCCATTCCAAGTTGTTTTTGAAAGATTTTTGTAGTGTATCCCCTGCTTGCTTCACAGTGAGTTCTATTATGTATTTATTTTGTTCTTGATTCCTTGTTTACACAATGGTGGCAACAGTAAGAAAATTCCAATCTGGCTACATGTCTTTCTTCACTTTTGAGATAAATCTATTAAATAGGGAAAATAGTGAGAGAATTACTTTTTTTTTTTTGTGAGAGAGGCTAAATAAAATTCTATAAAACAATTGAAAGGTGAATTTCACATTGAAAGAAGGAAGCATTAAGAACACGTTGAAGGATAAAAAGAGTGAATGCTTGATAAGATGAAAGAGAAAAGTCATAAAAAGACAGGTAAAAAAAAGGGAAGATAAAGAAAACTTCTAAGAGGGGAATGTGAAGAAAAAACAAGAGAAGCTGAGAAACCAAGAAAGTTAATAAAATAAACTAACACACAGGCATACATGTACACACACACACACACACACACATGTGTGTGTGTGTGTGTGTATATATATATATATATATATATATATATATATATATATATGCTAGGATTGTGAAAGAAACAAAGACCTTAAAAGAAAGCAGACAACAGTGGAAAAAAGCAAGGGTTTTGGGGCTGAGACATAGGCAGACTTACAAAAATGTATGGGGAAGGTTCTTGCCTGCTCAAGCCATGGTTAATGGGCTCTTTAGCTTTTTGCCCTGTCATCTAACACCTCTGATCACTTTCCACTGTTTCAGATTTGAAGTGTAGACTCCCCACTTGATCTCTCTCTGGCTTTTTTTTCCTGTTCTTAGTTACCATTTTTGAGGTAAGCAGCAAAAACCCGAAACTGAATACAATCTTTGCACAGCAAATCGCTCACGTACAGCTGTCCAAGATGAGATCTATCTTTACTCTCTCTCCTAAAATGGTGTATATAAAATGGTCTATTCTCCATGCCATCTGCACAAAAAGACTTTTCAATGATCACTTTTCCTCTTTTTCAAATTTGATTGGCAGAATGTTGCTTTTTTTAGTTTATTTCAAAAGTTCTTAGAGTGTTTCTTTTTTTTTACTTTTATTTTTAAATAGAATTTCCTTTTAAGTTAGTAAAATTAAAGGCATAATTATTTTGAAGATCTCATCTTCTGTCTATCTTGTCTTCGTTTCACAAAATTGAACTTGTTTTTAATCCAGTGCATGAGTAAAGAAAAACATTTTACTAATAGTTGTTGTTCACCTGCCAACACTTGAAAAAAAAAAATAAATTGAAAAAAAAACAAGTAGAACAAAAACTTTAAAAAAAAATATTTTTAAAGCTTCTTTCTGTTTTCCTTGCTTTACTTTTCTACTAAAAATAGAGAAATGTGCATTGACTCTTATTAGTTTTTTGTTTGTTTTGAGCCATCCATTTTGTAATCTCCTGTTTACTTTGTCTTTTCGTTCTTTTTTTCACTATCGTTTCTTTTCACCTTGTCTTTTTTTTTATCAATTTTTAAAATTTTCTTTTCTTTTTTTCATCTTCTTCCAAATAGATTAGCTTGTTACTTGACGTTTTTCCAGGAATCGCATAAATCTTCTCTCCTTTGACTTGTCTCTTTGTTATTTTCTTCTCTTTTCTTTCACAGAAATGTTGATGATCAGCTTAGAAAAATTCTGGCCTGTTGTTCTCATTTCCCTTGTATTGTTAATGATGATCTTCCTGATCAGCTTATCAATCTTCCTTCAGATTGACTTCAGCTTTTGTCTTATTTTCATCCCTCTTTATTTACGTCTCTTTGTTTTCATGGATTATTCTTTTTTCATATTGATGATGATGCTGATCAGCTTACAACTTCTTTAGACTGACACAGCAGAAGAAAAATCACAGTAAACATCTCTCCTTTCTTCTTTTTCCTGCTTCTTTTGTTTCCATATACTAATGTTGATGCTTAGAGAGTCTTTTTTGGCCTGACATTCCTCAGAAATCTTATCATGGTTCTTGTAATTTAATTTCCTGATAAGATTTAATTAAAATAAAAACTGGAAAATGTCTTTTTTGTGGTGTTCAGTTTTGTACATTATGTCTCACATTATTAGGATGTGTGTGTGTGTGGTGTAATGTATATTGACTCAGACTAAGAAATCGGAGGGCCAGGTCTGAATTCCAGTTAGGTTCATTAAATTCACTTATGCACAAATACCCTTGAGAGAGGTAGGAATTGTATCAGGAAAATCATTGTTATTTTAAAACAATTGTTAATGCAATATTCATTTACAAAAAGGAATTATTCTTACAATCCAAAATATGTTTCAGCTTTAAATAACTCACAAAGGGTAGATAAACTATATAAAAAAAAAAAAAAATCCATTAATACCATCTCACATTAATAACTGCTTCATGTTTTATAGATATATAAAATAAATACTTATTGTAATATAAAGGTTTATTTGTTGAATAATGGCAACATCTATTTGTGCAGTTAGGATGGAAACTGATTTGTTCTATGCAACAATTTATATGAAATATCCTGAAAAAGGCAAAAGGCAGTCATTTTTATAAAATATCTTGAACTTTAAACTTTCAAATTAATTGCCACATTATGAGTTTGAATCTTTAAAATGTGGTATAATACTAATACTGATATTTTTATGAAATGTCCAACTGGACAACTGTCTTAAAAATGAAAAGGAAACTTATGGCAACAGATGTTGTTCAACAGACAGATGTTGAGAATACCATCGACAGAATATGTGAGCAATGAGGAGGTTCTAAAGAAAATAACAACTAGGACATTAATACTTAAAATCAGAAAGTTTAAATTTCTGGAACACATTAAGAGGAAAGAGGGCTTGGAAAATTTAAGACATGCAGATCATTTTGAAGGAAGTAGGGGCAGAGGGAAATAATTATTAACTTACCTTGGCTAAATTTATGGTAGAAAGAAAACAAGAGAGATAGTAAAAAGTCAAACATTGCTTAGAGCAACAAGAAACAGGAAATTGCGGAGAGCCATGATCGCTCATGTCCTAAAAGAAGAAAGAAATCTCTTGAATTTTGAAGTTTCAAATTAATAGCCACATCGCAAGTTTGAAGTTTTAAAATAGGACATAAAGGTGATTTTAATGACTAAAGAGAAATATTTAATAACTTCAGAGCTTGCACCAATGAAAATTGCAAAAGGGATCAGCAGGTAGCACTGAACTGGGCAAAAGTTCTTTGAAGATCTTGAATGACATAAATGCATCTTAGTTAAAAGTTTTTAAATTTCTTTCTTAAAACTGAATAAATATAAATTTTGAATTTAAAAACTTTAATATTTATATTCTTACAAAACCTAGTTCATGTATATCCCAAGAAAAAATAGATATTTTTAGCTTATCATTGATAATGTTGAAATAGCTTTTTTGAGGACTAAATTTTATCATTAATACTTTCTGTGTTGAATTTAAATACAAGTTTACAAACTCATCTGAAAAGTTTAACAATTTTTAAATTGTAATAAAGGTTTACCTCACTAATATAAAAGACTGAACCAGAAATCTGACACTGGAAAAATTTTAACCTGTACATTTATATACCTATCACATCTGAAATAAATTCTATATGTAAAAATACCTGCACTTTATATTCTGGCATGAAATGAATTTAGGAGTAAATGCTAACTTTGAATCTTTAAATTAACCACTTCCTATGCATGCACATTCTTTTGTGTAGACCATGTTTAGTTTATAATTATTCATTAGGTATTATGGCTGTATTTTCCATGTAATTACAATATAACTAATTTCACCTAATTCTTTCTGAAGAAGGAAGAAAGCAAAACACACTTTGGCTGAAAATCCTTTTTTTTTGTTTCAAAGGAATGTGGTAAAAGTTGTGTTATCCAATTAACATATTCTACTCTTAGTTTTCTCTTAACTTTCAATACAAAAATAAACATCCAATCAAATGCTTCAAACTTTATTACCTCTTTTAATTCAATATGCCTTTCATTGCCCTCTATCCAATTTCAGTCATTTCCCTTAGCTTTGTTCATTTCCATTTTCTTTCTGTACTTTATTATTTACTTTTTCTTTCATTTTTCTATACTTTTTCTATTTCATTCATTTTTTTTTTCTATCCCTTTGTCCTACATATATCTTTCATTCTTCTTCTTTCAATTCACAGCCTTTTATTTTGTTACTGCTCCCTATTTTATCACTTTCACTACAGCTCTCTATTCCCTTTATTCCATTCTCTACCTCCTTCACTACAGCTCTCTATTCTACCACTTTTGCTACCGATCTCTATTCTACCTATTTTGCTATTGACCCCTATTCTACCTCTCTCACTACCGCTCCCTATTCTACCTCTCTTGCTACTGCTCTATATTCTCCATCTCTCATTAACAATCTCTTTTCTACCTCTCACTACTGTTCCCTATTCTACCTCTCTCTATTACGATCTCGATTCTAGCAATCTCTCTCACCACCATTCTCTATTGTCCCATTCTTGCTACCACTATCTTACCTCTTTTGCTACCTCTTTCATTACTGCTCTCAATTCTCCTTCTCTTTCTACTGCTCTCTATTCTACCTCTTTCATTACTGCTCTCTATTCTACCTCTTTCATTACTGCTTTCTATTCTATTTCTCTCGTTACTATTCTCTATTCTATCTCTTATTTTTGTCTTCATTATTTGTAATCATTCTTTTCTTACTGATGTAGGCATTCTTGTTGTGGTTCTAATTTCTATTTCTACTGATAAACAAAGAATAACAAACAATCTTGTTCTCTCAACTGAGTACCTTTGCGAATTTCTTTTTATTGACCACTCGTCTCTCAATTTCTGTTATCTTTGAAAGTTAACCATGTCTCTTCAACTGAAGTCAAATCACTGTGATGCTTACTAACAGAACCTTTGTCTCACAGGATTGGATAACCCAATCCTTACAGCAGCTGTCTCCTTTATATCTTGAGTAAATGTTATGAAGGCCAATATACATTTCAGAAACTCTTTACGTTTCACTATAGAAACATAATCTCTGTTGTAAAATTAAATATTCTTTTTTTAGTGGGGTAGGTCTTCCATGTGCCTGGAACTAAGTAGAAAGCTTCTTAACAATTTACTCAAGTGAAATGAAAAGGCTACACTTTCAATAAGAGGTCTTATTTAGTCAGAGATTTTAAATTCACAGGAATTTTTTTTTTTTGTCAAATCAACTTTGTTTGGATAACAAATTAGAAAATTATATTGTTTCTACAGTTCATTATAAAAAAACCTTTTCTAGATAAAAAAAAAAACTATGAGCTAATATAGCATCAGTAATAAATATTCAATGTGTCATAAAGAGTCAGAAAGACAGATGTTATTGTAATGTGGTCATAATGCTAACAAACCTAACATTTTTGCTGTTAGGAGAATCTCATAAAAAGTGTATTATATTTAGCTTTTATTATCACGGTTAATCTTATAAAATCTATGCCATTATTCAGCTGTGTAACATATAAAAATATTATATATGAAATGATTTAGGCTGACTCAACTTGGTGCACTGTCCCCAGTTGATAAAAGAACTAAGTAAAAACCCCACCAGGAATAACATGGCAATCGAATAACTCAATGACACACTAAAAACTGTTCTGCTTCTTTCTTCATTGTGTGGCTTCAGGGATTAAGAACAACAGAAGTCAAGAAATGAAAATAAATATTGAATAAAACAGATGAGATAAAAAGGAACTTTCTAGAAGAAGGAGAAAAAAAAAGTATGGTGATGTGTGTGCTCAATGAAGCTCAAGAGAAAGTGTTCCAGTATAAAGAGATTATGTCTTTCTCGGTTGTTTTGCTGTTCACTCTGTAGACAATAGAAGGAAATGAAAAATTTGGAAGCATTTGTATTAAAGAATCTGCTTTTCTCTGCTGTTCTATTTTATCCACATCTTTGCTTCCAATTGCAATTTTGCCTTATTGTCTCTCAAAGCAATACATTTGCAATAGTCATTTTTCCTCTTCAAATAATCCTTTTTATCCCCTATACTCACTGCAAACTTCTTATGACTTTCAAGAAACCAAACTATCTCAGATTAATATTTACTTTCTGTTTAATTCACTTGTGATGAAACAAATGTGTTCATGTTTCACAAATGAATGCCCATTGTATTCTTATTAGATTAGCTGTTTTTTCTTCAATAAAAGCTACAGTCTTTCTTATATAATCTTGTAAACAATTTCAAAAGCAGTATTTTGGTTTTTCACAAATGTATACTAACTTTTTTTTGCATTTTATTAATGAAAAATGTATACTACAGTTGTGCCTTATTTAAAATTAGTCTTAGTTTTGAAAATTTAAGATTTAAGGAAAACAAAATTGAGCCAATAGAAAAATGAAACTAAAACCTGCTGGCCTACCACCTGGGTCAAAATAATAACTTTTGTCATTTTGACCTTTCAGCAGTTGACACTAACAGAGGTTGCATACTTCTCCTGTAGAAGTGGTTTACTCTTATAGATAATAAGTGGTCTTGTTAAAAGCTAAAAAGTCCTGTCTACTCTGGTTTGTGATGTTTACCTTCTCTTTGTTTGACCAATGGCGAAAGTTAACAAGCTCAACAAACTTGATAGCCATAAGAAAGCAGGGATTTAAATTTAGAACTTTCCTTCTCCTAGATGAGTTGCTCTGATATTTAACCTATAGCTGGAAGAAGATGGATTTGTTTTGTTTTTTGTTTTTTTCAAAGGCATTGGTGCAAAGTAAACAAAACTTGGTTCCCCACACATCAAAACAAATGTATTTCCAAAGGCACACATATTTTACAATTTTAGGGATTTAAAATAATTATTTTTCTGTATTTATTTTCAATAAGTACTGTAGGTTTCCATCTTATTTTTTCTATTGTAAGAAAACTTAAGTCTCACCTTTTTCATATCATTTACATTTCATATTTCATATTGTTCTATTTTTTTGTGTGAAACAGTAAAAAGAGATTATGTTAAACTGGAATGAAGTTAAATAGGTTCAGGTGTATTTATTGTGAACATTGTAAACAAGATATGTATTTTTTTAAAAAATATGGTTTCATCATCTATACAGCTTCTTTTTTACAGTCTTTTTCTCATCATTCAATGTTGCCTGATCTCCTTCAGAAAGTTTAATGTATATATTAACGATTTGCACAAAATCAATACAGGTGCGGGTTATAAGCTAGTCATGCATACCTATGTTAAACCATAGGTAGCCTCTCTTGTGACCCATTCAGCTTGAACTCATTTCACTATAACTTGCTCATCCATTTCTTTCTTTATTTCTATTCACCATTACATCAAACTTTACTCTATGAGGAGTTAACTATTTCCAAAACATGTACAATATTTGAAGATCTATATCTATTTGGCGAAACTGATATAGGAATAAACCAATATCCCTTTGAATTACAAAAGATTATAATCATAATCTAGTGTATTAGGCCATATATATATATATATATATATATATATATATATATATATATATATATTGTTCGTTAGTAAGAATTAGATATTTTAAAATGAAAATATCATATAAATTCAATTTTGATATGTAAAACCATTGTGCTTACACAAATTACATTTTAAAATAAAATTTTAGAAATGGAGGCTTGAACTGAAATATTATAAAACCAGTAATTTTTTTTCTTTTCTTTTATTTTTTGTTTACTTTTCAATTAATTCAAGTTACACACTTTTTAAAAAAATACTTTTGGCTTAATTCAAGTTACCAAATTTCTTTTTTGTTTTTGTTTACTTTTTGGTTAATTCAAGTTACACATTTTTTTGTTTTGCTTGTTGGTTAATTCAAATCACTCAATTTTTGTTTTTTCTTTTGTTACAGGCCCATGTGGTCGCTGCTTTTGAGCAGAGTTTGTCAAATATGACAAACCGACTTCAGCAACTGACTGCAAGTGCTGAGCAAAAGGTAAGTCAGAAAACTCTTTCTCCTCCTCATTTCTTTTGGGTTTTAATGAATGGATTGTAACTTTGTTTGTAGGAGATTCAACACTGGCATTAACAAACAAAAATGTTTCAAAAAGAAAGAAATCAATTAGATTTTTGTTTTTTATTCATAAAATGTTACTAACTTTCTATTAACTTCTCTTTTCTAATTTCCTTTCTCTGATTTTTTTCTCTGATATTTTACCAAAAACTCATCATTTTTGTGGTTTCAATTTTCTTAAATTACATCTATATGGCTTCTTCTTGTGCTAAATACATTTATCTTACTTTAACTATATGTTTTTATGTGGTTATTAAGGCCATCTTATTATTATAAATAATACTCTTCAGATGTTGTTTTTTTTTTTCATTTTAGTGGTAAGTCCTTTCAAAATGTAGGCAATCATGATTCTCCACACATACCTTTTCTTTATTATTTGTGAATTGCTATGTATTCTTGGAAAAATTGTGACTTCTCCATAGTCTCCATTCTAGAGAGTCCAGACTACCCTGCTATTTAACCCCATAGCTGGCAGGAGAAGAAATGGATGCATGTCTTTCTAAAGAATATTTGTGTAGAACTGAATGCAACAGACTAGCCTAGAATTTGAATGGTTCATCAATTCTAATTACCTTGCCAATATATGTTACACCTTGTGCACATCTAGGTACAGTAGCAATAAAATATTTAAAGTTAGGTTCAATTTAATGTTCTTACATGGGTACAACAAAAAGCCATATACTTTTCTTCAGTTAACACTTTCACAAAATGTGTGATTACAATAAAAACACTGGTAGAAAGTTGAAAACATTTATCAGTACAAGATAATCATTGATTCATACTAATATTTATACCAATTTATCCCATCCTGGGTATGATGATAAACTACATCTGCATCCTGGGTAAGATAATAAACAGCAAGGCCTCTGATCAGGAGGTTTTGAGGAGCATGGAACCACTTCTTAATTGCTGGTGTTCCCAGGTCCACCCTGACCCGGAGTGGTAGCACCTGTTAGGGTCCCAGCTATGAGCAAATAGTTAACACCCAAACTTGTGCAAAAATAGGTTTTAATACCAGAAATACTTTGTAATAAAAAAAATTATTACTAGCAATAATTTTTAAAGGAAAAATTATTATTAGCAATACTTGAAAAAAGAAAATACCAGTAATACAAACAGCTATACATTCTTAAGAAGTTGGATTGTACTCAAAAATATGAGTAATTGAAAAATGGTTCAAATATATATGTATACATACACACCTTTTTTACCAAACTATCGCTATGAATTTATTTAAATGACCCACTGAGGTTGATATGCCATAAAACAAAACAACCAACCAACCAATTTATCATCTACCATGCTTATGTCAGGATTTTCAAACATTTGACATGGGAAATTGTTCATTTAATTGCCAATAAAGCTTTAGATATCAACTTAACTCTTTAATCAAATTCCCAATCTATCCATCCATCCATCCTTGGGTTAAATGCTCATCAGTATCAGCAATATTACCAATAATCACTCTCCAGTGATTATAATAAAATAAAACAGGAGTAAATAAATTTATCCAGACTCCAAATAGGACATACACTCATCTACTAAAAAATTAAACTTCACCATCATACAACAAATGTGAAATACCTCTCAGAGTTAAACATATATTTGTAAGTTGCCAAAATCTCAGTCAAACCCAAAAATAATATTATCAAGCAAACAAAAGAACTCTTTCAAAACACTAAAGCAAAATATATCCTTAACTTCTTAAAGGAAATCAAACTTTATACCAAAACATAAAACTCCCAACAGAACTATAAAACTTTTAATATATTTTGAAAACTGAAAAAAGAGAAAAAGAACCCTTAAGATTTAATAAAGATCCCCACTAAAAATAACAATGCAAACTGTAATAACCAATTTGTATTAGAAACCAGCATTTCTAATAACTGATTAAAAAGAAAAAACTATTTCTCCAACTATACCCAAAACTATCACTGATCCACATATAACATCACGCTATGACCAAAATAACCATTTCAAAACACTTTTCTAACCTTAAATAACACTATAGTGGTTGAAAGGCATAAGCAAACTAAAGTAATCCAGTGGGATCATCCACAGTTGTTGAAATCTATCATGTTTTTGATTTATAGCCATAATATCTGCATCTCTCATCTAACCATCTTTGTACAGCTTCAGGTGCAGCTTGGTTTTGAATTGAGTGTTCTTTTAGACTGGTTGCCAGTTATGTTTCGTGAGCCTAGTTTGGCCTGCTATTTAACTTATAGCTCAAATCAAAATATTCCCATTGAACCTAATGCTGCATTACTGTTTCATCAACTGTGCATTGGCTGCATTGTTGTGATTTCTATTGTGTAAAGCTTCTGCAAACAGTTAAAACGTTTTTGAAATTTCTTATTTTTAATGTTTCGAAAGCAAGCATTGCAACAAGAATAGAGAAGTTAATAAGTTTCTAGAATCTATTAAATATAACATTATTTTTTATCTTATTTGAGTATGACTGGTTAAAATATAGAAGATAATGTTTTTATATTGATAAAATTTATATTTTTCACTTTTATAATCTGTCATTGTGGAAATGACAATGATAGCAGTGAATACATTAACAAATAACACATTCTCTTAGAATCTTTTTTTCTTTATTACTAAAGATTTTGTTATGAAGGTGGTAGTCACTTAATTTGTTCAAACAACAATATCAAATAGAAAAATAATATCCTTTACTTAATGCCATTACAATATTTTAATAAGTATGTAAGCTTGTCAATAAGTTTGTAGCCTAATGATGAATAAAAGTAATTTTCATAACAAATATTTATTTTTAAACAATGCACATAACCCAATGTTTATCTATTATTCACAAAATTAACATTGAAACTTTCTGATTAAAATTCAGTGAGGCTACAAACTTATTGATACATTATTGTAGAGGCTTATCTGACTGGTATCTACACTCACATTTTATTAAGCAAGTCAGTGTTTTCCCAATAAAATTGCTATTAGCCAAACAATAATTGGAAAAATTTCAATATATATTTACATTAGATAAGTATCTAGTGGGCATAAAGTGGAGGATCAGTTTTCTATTATTAGGTAATAAATTTATCCATCTTAGAATTATGACAATGTCAAATTTTATTATGCAAGTTAATGTTTTCACAATAAAAATGGTATTAACAAATGGATGTTGGTAAAATATTCAGTATATATGAGCAATATACCATGTGAGTTTCAGCCTATCAATCCTTATTGAAAATATTGATGACTTACTTTGATGTTGTCATGCTTTATTAGGCAACAAAACTTTTATCTGTATAAAAATCAAAAGATATAATTCATAGATCCCTATACACATTAATGAATTATTTTACATGTTAATATGGGTTCTTTGATATTCTATAACCTTAATAGATCTCATCCATTGATTTCATTAACAATTCTACTCTTTTGACTTTAACATTACTTGCAGCAGTTTTTATTGCTTCCCAGAGGTCTTCTTTACTTGTTCTCTATTCTCATATACATTTCCTATTGAATTAATATCTAGAGAGACTGGGGTTTATTTCATTAATATCTTTTTAAATCTTTTTTGACATGATGTTCAAAATCAGCTTTGCAGAATGAGTTAAAATGTCTTGCATGAACAGACTGTTCAGATGAAAGCTTTCTGGTTGTGACATGTACCGCTTAAAAAAATATATTGTCCAAAAACTTGAAATAATTCTCTAGATTTACCATGACACTTGCATCATTAACTTTGAAGGGATCTATGATTTTACCGCCTATAATACTAACCCAAAATATTACTTCACCTCCCTACTATTGTGTTCTTATTGATTGACTATTTCTATGAAGGACCTGGCCTATCGTACAGTCACTAGGTCTATCTAATATGGCTCTATATTCATTGCTAAAAATGACTGTTGACAGATCAGTTTTTGTGTGCTATTTTCACCCAACTTACAATGTTTTTCTTTTTAATATTTTCTTAAAAAGTAATAGTTTGGTTGCTTTCATGTCTTTAGTCAATGTTTTTAATAATATGCATCTTTTCCTTCTGTTTATATTCATAACAACAGCTTTTTCAAATGTTTTCTTGCTAGCCAATCTGCTTTTCTTACTTAGTACCCTTTTATTCTTTTCAACTCTCTTTTTAACTCTCTTTTTAAACATTTTTAAAGCCAGTTTTTCTTGATCATAGCTTGCCAATGTTTTCAATTCCTTTTTTGATTGTTCTTTGATCTCTGTTCAACTTTTTAACAATTGCCAACATTGCATTCCCATTACTTAACTTTAAAATATCTTGTTTCTTTTTTGAGCTTATATCTTTTTTATGATCCACAGCAGTCTTTATATGCTTGAAATTATAAAAAAAAAGACATCAATAATGATACTATTATATATATTTACTTACACTACAAAAAAATTCCTTATGTTGTATAATAAAAAAAATCTCATATAACCAAATAAGTTACTGCAAAAAATTTTAATAAAAAGAAATGAGCTGAAATTCATTTGGGTATATTAAACTGACCACAATTTTGGCATAAAAAAATGCTACTCTACTTAAAAAAGAAAATAATTCACTAAGATGAAAATATCTAGAAAATGCTTTAATTGCTAGTTCATCCACAGTAAATTTATGTCCAGATTCTTACAATGTTTCACCATTCTTGACGGATCTTCTGTTATTGCAATATGGGAATATTTAATAAAAAATAAATTATTTCTAAATTTTAAAACTCCCAGCATCTCTCATTCATGTATAATGACAATAACATAAACAAACCCAGTCCGATGAAGTCCAAATGGATGAAACGTGTCACAAAAACTTTTTTTTCTAATTTGTCATACATCTTTTCTTTCAAAACTATTTTTGATATATAAAAAAATTTATATATCATTATCCCTCACACACACACACATATATACTGAACATTTTACCAATATCAACTGTTTCC